TCTATCTATCTATCTATCTATCTATCTATCTATCTATCTATCTATCTATCTATCTGTCTATCTATGCATTAGATTGAAAACAATGCAGTTTAAACCTACAGTTCTGTTCGGTCAAATGTATGTACGTTTGAACAGATGGCAATATACATGTTTTGGGGCACCAATGGCTAAGTGAAAAGTGAATTTAGACTCAAGAGTAATGTCAAGCAAGTGTCAAATTGCAATGAAACGGTGATCACATGGGTGGTCATTGGTGTGTGTCCTTGTTCAAGACGCGACAACCCCAGCTCAACAATCAGGGCACTGCACAGTGACGACCAGCAATGACATGGTTGTAAAATTGTTCTGTATTAGTGTAATATTGAGAATTTATAAATATGATTATGTATTTATGTGTATGATAATGTTTGCCATTGTAAATCAAATTGCCCTTCTGGCGTCAACAAAATTGTAATTTATTTGTTTTTATTTTATGTTTGTCATTATATACTCCCCAGAATTTCTACAGCCGCTCTGGAGTCTGCCTTGCATTGCACGTGACCCCGGCCAGACCGCCAGGCTGGGAGTACTCAGTGGCGGTCTTCCTCGTCTTCAATTTCCTCTCGTTTCTCATCATCGCCGGATCCTATATCTGGATGTTCGTTGTTGCCAAGGAAACCAGAAGTGCAGGTGAGACTGTTTAACTGTTGGCCAGCAACACTGTTTTGGTTTTACCTTACTTTTTTCTGTTGGTGGAGGGGGGGGGTGGTTGTTTGGTTGTTGTTTTTTGGTACAATATCTACTATTTATGAACGATCATTTTTCAAGTCTAGATAACAACTGAAGGAACAGTTTAAGAAATCATATTTAATAAGGCAAAGTGTTAATTCCCTTATGGGACGGGTGTCTAGGGTTGTTGGTAATTTGCTTTAGGTTTTAACTCATTCACACGGCTAGTGTAAAGGTTTAAAAAGGAGTAGACTATTTCTTTAAATAACAGAGCTAGATAGAGCAAAAAAATCAAATAATATCCATAGTTTAACGTAACGGTACTGAGTATCGTTGATTCCCAGGTTTAAACCTCCGCCCTCTCTTGTTCTCCATTTTTATCCTTCCATCATTTCTCTTTTTTAATTATAGTAACCCTTCTAACCACC